GTAGAGCGAAAAAAATTATAAAAGCTTTAAATTTAAATTGTGTCTCGAAAATCAATAGTTTTCGAAATAATTGATGATATAATTTTAGGCGTTTTTTTAGAAATCACCCTATATTTCATAAACTAAAAGGAATTTGGCAACACTGTAAACAAATGGGCATCAAAAAAGATAACTTTTTTCAAATTCAACCGACCTTGTAGCTCTTACCGTTTCGAAGATAGCAATAGTGGTATCACTAAAAATACACACCCTGTATAGGTTCACAAAACTTCTTAAACTGTGTTTAATTATTTCAGGAAATAGGGTATTTTATGCCTAATTTTTTTACATGATATTTTAATATTGGATATAATATTGAGGACATCATTATGGGTTCGTTAAACATAGTAATACTTTAAGTGCCACAATGGACCTTGTCAATAAAATTTCCAACGAACTGTTATTGCGGTATTTGTATATTCAAAAAAGCCTACAGATATTACTTAGAGAATTAAAAAATTTAGGTTTTCGTGGTGTAAATTCCTGTAATGGAATTGAATCTAATGTAGGATGATGCTCAAGATCAGGACACTTGGTAGTTTATTGTTTTTAGGTTGTAGGTTGGGTTAGTACACCCGGGAAGGTTGGTAAATGGGGAGTAAGAACCACTGTTGGATTAATACTGATTTTTTTAAAAACAACTAAAGTCTGGCAAATATAAATTTTCCGACGGAAAGAATGCGGACAAAAAATTGACACGTGCGTCAACTCCTCCCCTTGACAGTACATCAATAAGGCGATTGACTGCAGATGATTGAAATCCATTATGGCTGCCTTTATAAAAACAACTTTGACAAGGGCTGCGTTCGAGAACCTGGCTGTTGATGTGGAAATTATTTCAGGGAGTGGGGGGCGGACACACTTCGGTGTGCAAATCTAGCGCTGGGTTTACGAACGGTGACCGAAAGGTTTCTATAGTTTGTGGTTTGTTTTGTTTATAAAATTGAATTGAATTAACAGAAGTAGAGATGATAGGTCCGTTTTTACACAAATCACAAACCAGTCAGAGCGTTTTTGATTAGTTAAAATCGCCAACAAACAGTTTTCTTACTATTTTCAACCAATGAAATTCGTTCTGACTTCTTTGTGATTTCTGTGAGAACAGACCTGTCATGCGTCCTCAAAATGTCAGTGTCATAATGTCAGCCTAAATTTCACTTTAGTCGGGACTAGAGTGTTAGGTGCGCGTACGGGACAACCACCCTTCCGAACGCCGAAAACCGTGTGATTTTTATTCACAATCCGCCTTTCCGAACGGCAGCTGTGTGATTTTTATACGAAACACCAGGTTATCGAACGCAATCAAGGTTCACGCTACAACCCACCAGGTGTCCGCCATTTTTCTCCTCTTCGCCCCTCAGACGTCGCCGGCAAAATTAAAATTGCCAGACTATATTTATGTACGAAAAAATTCAACTTTGACAAACGTCATGAACAATGGTAATTAAATTAAAAAAAAGAAATAGCTGACATCTAGCTGACATGCCATCAGTATTCAGTGCCGTCATGGGGAAATACTGGTTCGAAGAAAATAGCTTCTATGGGTGGCTGGAGAGCTCTAATTGTATTTAATAGAATGTCTGCCGCATCTCTGATTCTTCTTGTATTGAGCCGTTATGCTGTCGTCCTTTGTAGATCCTGAATAGAACTATAAGTATGACAGCAAAAATTATTTTTACTTATGTAGCACTGAGGCTCGTGACTAGGAGGTGTTTTTTTACTGCTACCCAATGCGTAGTTTCAAGTTGTTGTCTGATGTTCATTTCTTCATTCCTGAATTCATTAAGCTTGTTGAATGCCTCAATTAGAGGTTCGTCAATTAGCGTGGTTTCTCTTCGCATGGTTTCTCTTCCACGCATAACTGGGAATAATTATTTATTTTGTAGTAGGGTCTTGGAGAATGCTTCCAAGAAAGTGACCTCTCAGGAATTAGGATATTTTTCTTAGTTTTAATGAGGCAATTTGAAGCTATTTCTATAATAGCCGTCTGATTTAGTGCCACATCGTCCTGGGTTCCATCGCAAATAATGGCAATTTCAGTTTTTTCAGGAGTAATTGCTAACCATGAGTTTGGAGTGTGTAGCTGTTTCCATATTATTATGGAAATATCCATAGACGTGGATAAATTCTTCACTGTGTTCCACTTTGGTCTGGAGCACAGGATAAGATATTATCTCGATATTGGAAGGAACTTTTTTGCTCTTCAACATGGTGGTCTTTATGGTAAAGGCTGTTCATAAAGTCTATAGACTTTTTCGAGTGCGTGATCTGGGATTTTGAACGTTGATTGGCCAAAATTAGGGGGTCGACTTGGGCGACCAGCGCTCAATTTAAACGATTAACCCAAGGCCCCAGTGAGGCCCAAAAATCTAGCCAATCAGCGTTCAAAATCTCAGATCACGCACTCGAAAAAGTCTATAGACGTTATGAAGTTCAATGTAATTGGAGACAACTTAATACGAACTGAGAACGTGATATTTGCATCCACCGTTCGATAACATATTTTCATTTCATTTATCGAAGCAATGCCTTCACTGATTTTCTCCCGGAATCTCTAGGAATAGATTGTTCATGCTGGTTTTTGTCTAATTCGTCAATATTCATGTAGATCTCATCGTTTACTTCGAATACAGCGTAGAATAGTTTTCTCAAAACTCTTCTTTTTTCACTTTTGGATACCAGAGTTGGTAGTCCGTGTTGTACCCATCGATGCCAGCAGATACACTACTAAACAACAAAGTTGGCAACATTTTGTGAACGCAATGTTTAAAGGTCTGTAGCTGGAAAACTGTTGTATCGATTTTGAACAGCTTTGCAGGTTTCGAAAGCCTATTTTTAGGTTTCACGACTGGCTTGCTTTTTTTGCAGATGGCCCTGTTCTCATTATACAGGGGTGGAGAAAATCATAAACCTCAAATTAGGCATATTATGATAATTGTTCTTTTTAAACCTATTCAAATTGGTCTGTATGCCTTTTGTTTTCTTTGAAAATTGGTTAGGTGATACTTTGGGCCAATATCTCGGGACGATTTCTTCGTTTTGCGTCAGAGCCTTTTGAAGATCCATTTAAGCACCACTATGTTGAAGCGATGTGGCTCATAGTTTAATAGATTGTGAAACGTTTTTTCTCACTGTCTAAAAAAAATAATTATGAAACCTGCAATGCTGTTCGAAACGGATGCAACCGTTTTCAAGCTACAGCCTTTTAAACATAGTGCATGCTTACAAGATTTCACCAACTTTGTTGTTTAGTGCCAAAGGGCACTTATCAAAATACTGGCCAATACGCCTGGAGATATTGATATTAACTTACTAATCGCCTATACGGAAATCCGAAAAAAGAAATATTGCCAATATGGCAGAGATCCAACTTTCTACTTTTGCATCAGTTTATGATTCACCCTGTATATTACTTCAGAAATGCATTCCTTCAAAAAAGTGATTTTTTCCCACGAGATATATAACATGGGCTTTCGAATACCAAAAACCTTATTCAAAGAAAAATAATTTAAAAAAAGTTATCACAACTTGAATATGGTGCTAAAAATTGCTTGTCCCGTTCCTTTTGGCGAGCAGTTTATTTGCAGATGACACGTTGATATATTTTTCTAGTAAAAATTGAATGGAGCAGAGGTAATTTTGGGCGCTCCTTTAAGAAAAAACCCTCGTACCCGTCGATGTTTGATTTGAGGGGGAAACATTTTTTTTTTGGCATTTTCACGACTTGAACGGCAAAGCCCTAGTGAGGCCCCAAAATTACTCCACAAATACTGTAATGTACGAGAGCGGTTTGAAGAAAATCTGTAACATTGTATGGAAGTCAGAGGTCAACATCAGAGGGTGAAAATTCCAAAAAAATGGTTTCCCCTTAAATCAAAAATCGACGGGTACGAACGTTTTTTTTTTCAAATGTCTTGGGGCGCCCAAAATTACCTCTGTTTAGTTTTCAAATGGCCACCCTGTATACAAACATAAAAACAATGTTAGATAGTATTGGTATCTTAAGTTTTCGACAGTCAATAAATTATAATAAACTAGTATTTATTTATAAAAAGGTTGATGGACTGGTGCCTAGTAATTTGCTCGACAACTCCGTTACTGTACACTCAGAAACTCTTAATTTTTTTATCTCTATCCCCACCTGCAGGTGTATTTACAGATGCGTGGTGCGGAAGGTAAATACTACAAAGTTGTATTGGTTTACCTGAACTCCGAGGTTTACATCGAACAATTCAGCATTATAAATTTGTCGAAAAGTCCTTATTGTTCTAAATTCAATAATATAAAATCTGTTTGTTTTATTAAGCCTTTTTGGTTTAACTTAGTTTTACAGTACGTGATTTTTTTTTTAAATATCTAAATTTGGGATAACGTTAGAGAAGAAACGTGAGAACCTGGCATATTAAAATGTAAAATTCATATAAACATGAAGATATTTGTATTAGAAGTGAAATTAGAATACTTAGAAATATGAGGGCTTTTTAAATTCATAGAAACATTTGAAAAAGTGGAAGATGGTATACCTCGCAACACTTCTGGGAAGCTTATGTATTCGTCTCACTAAAAACCTGGTGTTTCAGGTAAAACGCTACAACTTTATATTTCAGTTTTTTACCAAGCATCTGTAACAGCTGCAGGTAGGTATCAAAATATAATAGCTCTGTTCCAACCGAGATGAGAACCGTTCTAGAACAATAATTTCCAGTCGATCAATTTATTTGTCAAGTAGGATAAAAAATAAAATAAATAGTTGGGAAACTGGAAATTACTGGTTCTGGAACGGTTCTCATGTCGGTTGGAACAGAGCTAATGACACACCCGATACATTAGATACATTCGGTAATCAAAGTAAAAAAATATTTTGATGATATAATTTTTTATGTCAAATCCGTTTTTGGAAACCGGAAAAAGTTAAAGTTATTTTGAGGATAACACATAGTATAACAACATTTTTCGTCTAGGTTCATATACAATCCAGCACTAAACACTCAGTCCCATTATCAGAAATGATGAACCTGTGCGAAGAAACTCCTGATGTAACTGTGTCAACCCTCGTAAAGGCAGTTGGCTGGGAATTTTTAAGAACAAAGGGTATTAGTGGCAAAGATGGGGGAATGGAGCTCGCCAACAAACAACAAGGCTTCCATATGGTTAATCCAACCGAGTACTGGTTCCCTGGTATGTATGATTATGCATGGCATTGCAAATTTTTCAGTAATATTTTTATTCCAATTAAGATTATATTTCCTCGTTGATGGTATTAATTCAATAGATTTAGAATTATAGTCACAAACAACGAAATACTCTCTTCCCTTTAATTGCTGTTTTTCGTTGAGTCTTCAAGATTTTAAACAGGTGAACAAACAAGATGAAATCATATTTGATATGGGTTACATCAAATATAAAAATTAATCGTAGAGCAAATAAAACTACCGATTTAACACAAATCCAAAAGAACAATATATTTCGGAGAAGGACAAAATAGAGACTTTCATCAGAAAACGCTATTCGTTCCGACGTCGAAAGATCGAATGCCCCCAAGCCGAATCACGCTATCCTTCGTTGGGTGATACCTGGGTTGGTTTTATGACGCTTTGTTGGGGATGTTTTTCGGCTTTTTCCTTCATATATCTATGTCGGCTACGCTACCGTTCTGCACGTCCTCGTGGAACTACTTGGAAACGCCACAAGAATTGTTCGTTATTCTTGTGGAAACACAAACCTGTGAAAATTCAATGCACATTAGTTAACAAACAATGACTGTTACTGAAGATATTCATTATATATTTTCATACTCTGCTGCTTCATCCTTGTTGGAGTCCCTAGGCCAGATATCCAAACAAATAATGAACAATTTATAAAGAAAAGTGGAAACAGTAATCAATTATACATAAACATAACATTGTAACAGCAGGAATGGGCATCATCACATTCTGAGAGTAACATTTACGTTTTTGCTTTCCTTAACTATACTCTTAGATTGCGAATTGGTGTCAGATACTGTGCGCGGGTTACCTCATTTAAAAAAAAAAATATATAAAAACTTCTGAAATAAAAAGAGATGGAACAACGTCTGTTCTCTCGCCACGCCGATCCTTTCGACTTCGGTTTCCGATTCCGAACTCACTACAAAATTGAAGGCTTTTATCTTATCAAGGGGTACGATCCCCTTGTACCTTCTCTGCGATCGAGAGGTCGCGATCTACGGCTTCTATAATCGTATAAGGTCCGTTAAACTTAGGAAGCAATTTTCGGCTTCTCTCGTTGTTTGTCGTTTGTACGCGCACGAATACTTGTTGGCCAACTTTAAACTTTTTCCCAGCACTACGATGTGCGTCGAATGTTTCTTTTTGTTTCATCTGTTTTTCGGTAATTACGATTTTCATCTTCTCTCGAGTTTTGTCAATATTTTCATCCAGGGTTAGCTCCAAGGATACCTCGTTAGCCAAAATAGAATTGGCTACTCCTCTCGGAATGTACCCATGAAGCAGTTCATAAGGGGATTTTCCGGTAGTTGAATTCATCGTAGAATTCAGTCCCCACCGAAACTTAGAGACCATCTCGTCCCATCGTTCTTCGTCCTCCGTAGACGCTGAAAGACATGACAAGATAGTTCGATCGTAACGCTCCACTTGACCATTTGCTCTAGGGGTGGCTGTTGCGTTCAGAACATGTTTGATATTGAGATCTTTACAGTATTTTGCGAATAGTTTGCTCGTATAACAGGATCCTCTGTCGGATGATTCTCCTGGGCACGCCATAGTTTTCTATAATGCTATGCAAAAAGTTTATAACAAGACCAGTCTTGGTTGAAGTTACTGCTTTCATAAATACAAATTTTGTAAAAGCTTCCACCACTACGATTAGGCTAGTAAAATTAGGCCTATTTTGAGCTGAACCTCAAACAAAACAAGCTAATTTTTGCGCCATTGTGTTTCTCTTGAGGTTTTATATAAATAGCTAAAAATCCCATAAAATCCGATATGGGGCGCAGCCCCTAAATCACCCCCAAAAGTAATTTTTTTAAATTTTTTGCAATTTTCTCAAAATCAACAAGATTTTCGAAAATTCTGCAGGAAACCTTTTTTGTAGAGCACAAAATTTGCAATTTTTTGGTATGACATACCTTATTGTCCAAATAAACTTAAGATATAAAAGAGTATAAAAATATCAAAAGTAAGATTTAAATTTTTATTGGTCTTATTTAGTGACATGGGCCTATATTGTCAACTAGCTACTTAGGAAAGAAGGGGCCGTAATTCAACCTTATTAATTTAATTGCCGATTCGATCGGATATTTATTGCAATTGATCAATAAAATCATATAAATATCGGACCAAGCCGAGCAACAGACATACTTGAACCAGTGTTAGTACCGCCACCCTGGGAACACCCCTCTTAAGTCAAGTCTCCCTAGTGCAAGTACCGCCACCCTGGGAAAGCCCCTCTGGGAAACTGCATCGCCATCTAGTGCAAGTACCACTACCTTTTCTAGGTGAGGATCAGTTGAACATCGATCAGCTTGATTCAACGTAGCATTAGTAACATTGTACAGACATTCTAAGTAGCTTCAAACGTGTGGCCCTAGCCACGGAAGAGCATGGCATCCTGGGCCCGTATTCTCGTAACCGAGGAAGAGCGTTCTCGAGAGAACGATTTGCTTTGTCTTAGTCGCCCATATTGTTATTTCCATAATACTGACAAAGACAGAGCAATTATTCTCTCTTGAGAACGCTATTCCCCGGTTATGAGAATACAGGCCCTGGAGGATTCATGTAATAACTTCATAGCAAATATAGACATATTTTTATATAAACCTGAGCGAGTTTCTCTCCATCTATCTACCCTACTCCCCCCCGTCACCAAGAGGTTGAGACAATATTACCTAACTGGTGCTTACAATTCGGAATATTTATTGTTATAACGAAAGGCTTATGTGGAAAATATTATTTATCGCCAACTGTCAGTAGAGGTAGAGCTATACATTATCATAGCGATTTCCGGAAGTAAATAAATACTTTATTTCACTGTATATGCGGCAGATAATAGTTATTTATGGTACTAGTGTGTTATGTTGAAAATAAGTCACGCGAGAAAGATTAATACCACGAGGCCGTCAGGCCGAGTGGTATAAATTCTCAAGTGACTTAGGAAAGATAACACACGAGTGGCATACAATGTTTTATCCCAACAAGTAGAAGAAATCGTGTTTTTTATGAGATAATACAAAAAAATACAAGGTTCTATTAGTCTGCGCTTCCAGCACTATCAGCAGCTGTACCGATATGGGAGCGTCTGGTTCCAATGAACCAACGAATTTAACAATGACTTCAAATTCGAATAAACCGTTAACGTTTTCCTTTAATTGTAATTGCAATAGTAATAAATAAATAGAATACTACTTTAAATATGAACGTGAGTTATAAACCATAACTCACTAGTGAATTATAATCCATAACTCACTAGTGAGTTATTTGATAGTTTACTTGTCTAAAATGACATTAATAATAATAGTCATACCTGTCATGTGTTGGATAAAGTATTTTACCTGCCGCAAATATTTTTGCATCCTATGTTGAGAAATTTGTGCTCAATAGAACGAAAATCGCGAAGACGGTTTTAGGTAACAGTCAAATAAAATTGACACCATTGTTGTTACCAATGATAGTTCTAATAAAGAAAGACTTACGCATTGATAACATATTGGAACTCCTTCGACTTCAAGAATTAATTGACATCATACGACGACAGGGTGTACATTCACTTTCAATATAACAAACAATAACTAGATTTGTCCTGTGTTTACGCCTATAATAAAATGTGCTAAGTTATTCTTCATTTTTTACAGTTATCAATTTTTACGGTTGGCGATAAAGTTTTATATGCACCAGGTCAGTAAAATGTCTTTATCGAACTTGCACTTTTACTCGCATCGGTCGCTTCGCTCGCTCGACTCATAAACTCAGACTCGTTCGATAAAGTATCACTTTACTGCCTTGGTATATCGGGTGGGCCAGCGAAAACGAAACAAGGTCGATATCTCGTATTCATCGTTTATTGAAAAAAATCGCTCGGACACGTCGATTTTTATTCGGAGGGGGAAATCTTTTGCACATATTTTCAATGTTGTCACTTCAACTCTCTCGCGGGGGTAAGCGCCAACCCCTAAATCCTTAATGGCAGTAGGGGTCGAGCGATACCTCATTTCAAAGGTCATCGAATTCTCTTTTTAATGGTGCCTAGTTTTTTGAATTTACTAACTTTTTTTTTCAAAAAATATTTAAAATTAGAATGTATTTAGTTGAATTTAATTGAGTGATAAAAAAACCTTGTGATTTCAAGTTGGATAGCACACGACTTTGAAAAAAAACACATAAAATAAGTAAAAATTATTATAACTACAAAATTGAAAGTGCTCAAAATGACTAAATAGTACTAGTTCCGTCTATTTTCAAATGCGTTTTCTCGAAAACCACTGCATCAAATTCAGAAAAATAGGCACCGCTGAAAAGAGAATTCGATGACCTTTGAAATGAGGTATCGCTCGGCCCCGACTGCCATTTAAGATTTAGGGGTTGGCGCTTACCACCGCGAGAGGGTTGAAGTGACAACATTGAAAATAGGTGCAAAAGATTTCCCCCTCCGAATAAAAATCGACGGGTCCGAGCGATTTTTTTCAATGAACGGTCAATACGAGATATCGACCTTGTTTAATTTTCGCTGGCCGACCCTGTATAAATAACTATTATACCTTATTATTATTTTAAAATTTATATAATTTTTTAACAGCATACCTGTCTAAGCTGGTACATATATACATATTAATAGTTATTTATTTCTGACTAATGTCGCCCCCAGGGAATAATGACGAGTAGCGTGATTAATGGTCATTACTCCTCAAAAGTGTCAGTGTCAAACGTGTAGTGCTTGTGGATTTGTATTGAGATGGATGAAATTTGCTATCATAAAACTCAAATAAATTACTTTGTCGTAAATGAAGTAGAGTATACTACTCGCAATAATGGCTATTATTCCCTCGGAATGTTACTCTGTCGCCGCTAGCGCGGCTCAGTTCGTAAATATTTTTCGGGAATAATAGCTATCATTATTGACTCGTGGTGTAATCTACTATTATGTATCAAGGGAATTACGAGGGTCTTAATACCCCAGGGCAAAGT